TGTTTAAATAAAAATTAAAAAAATATTTTACGATGTTTTGTTTGACTTTCCATTATCTCCAGTATCTTTTTTATTTGAAGACTATTAAAATGGCATTTAAAAATAATAAAAAAGTTACCATCACCATCTTTTACCTGGCAAACAGAACTATTTAAAAAATGAAAGTACCCCCATTAAATTTTAATTAATGTTCGATCGACTAATTCGAGATGTAAATAAAACCCGACACTTTCAACTTTTACCTCGTTATTTGGCGCCCGAGATTGCGATTAGCGGCGAACATCATCTCGAGATATTTGCAAAATAAAACGCGTCAGTTCGTAGAAAGTGAACTGCCACAAAAACGTGAAATAATGAAAAGTGAAATCCGCCGACCACTACACTTTTCCAATACATTATGCGGAGTTGTAGTAGTGCACGGGTTTTAGTTCTTAAGTTTCGTCGATTGATATCGCTAAGTTAATCTAAGAAAAAAAAATGGATGACTTCCGCATATTATATATATGTCACATTATATGTATTACATTGTACATACATACTATTTTAGTAAAACTAATAAAGTGGTAACTCTATAGAGTAGGTAATGCATCACATTTTCGATTCGAAATAAGCGTTCTAGCGTTGAGTAAGAATTAGCAGAAAATGGCCTCAAACCGTTTGCAACAAGACTTCAGAAATTTGATGCTAGAACAAACCTATTGTAATAAATAACGGTTTGTTTTTACCCAAAATACCCAAATAGCATGCAAATAGTGTCTAATAATTGTTTGCATTTTCCCGGTATTTTTCCTTGTTTATTCCCGTTGCCCGTTATTATTAAGTAGGAAAAATAAAACTTACCTTCAAATATGAAATTAATAATTCAAAATTCCATTCTTTTAATAAAAGCTTTAGCCCACAAAAGTCAAAAACACACGTTGTGTGCTCAACTGTAGTCTACAGGTTGACTGTAATCTACAGGTTGACTTTTATCTAAGAATAATTATATCCTCTTCAAAAATAATGTTATTTTGGCAAAGATTAATTGCTTTTTGTTCATTAAAATGACACTATTATATCTAGTTTGCAAAAATTCTATAAAAAAATTAATTTTATACCTTAATTTAATTTGTTCGAATTTTACTTTAGATAGTTGGTATCGCAGTCATTGGTTTGACAGTTAATGTCAAAATCGATTCGCCATGCCGTCCTTAATTTACTTATTTACAATAAGCGGCTGTTAATGTTAAAGAAGAAAAAAAGGATTTTCTTTGGTGTTAAACAAAATTTATTGCCAGAAAAGTCTCGTAAGTACTAAAAAAATCATAAAAATATTATATCCAATATGCAAAATATTATGCTATAGCCAACCTATAAAATCAAAATTATGAACGCAAAATAGAAAAAACATATTTTTATCGTATCTGAGCAACAAAATTTGGGCCCTAAAATCAGTCTTGTTCACAGCAATAATTGTCAAAAAAGATTGTTTAATTTTGGTTACGCAAGTGAAAGTTGACGAGTTCCTACTTACTTTCACTGTTATACACTGTATTTTTAACTTGAAACTTTTTCCAAAGCCAGAGCAAGTATTTGGCATTTATTTTATTTGTATAGCCCATTCGTACTATAAAATTACTTTTATAGATATAATTAATTCAAAAAAGGAGTGGGACCTATTTTATAAATTAATCCCACATAAATTTGTCCTAATAAAAATAGACTAACAATAATAATGTTTAAAAATAAATATTACAATATTTAAATGTTTAAAATTGTATTTATTACTAATTTTAACCACTTCCTTAGTAATAATTAATCCTTGAAGTTTTAAATATTTACAATTATTGTTTTCAATCGATACGTCATTTTCATTTCAACAACACTATAGTGTTTATACAGGTAGTCTCAAAAGTCAAGGACAGCAGAAAAGGGGTGGATAGAGGATGGAATTCTAAGGCGAATAGTCTTTGCCGTTTTTTGATCAGACGCACCACAATCCACACAACAAGGTACACTCTTAGAAAAGACCTGGTATTTGTAACTAACTTATTATCGTTGGGGTAAAACTGTTGCAGAAAATAAAAATTTTTGTTTTTTGTAATCAGTACCTTTATATGTGTAACTGCTTGCATCATTACCTGAAAAGATTTAGTTTTGTTGTTGAGTATTATTTACTGCAAAAAGGCGATTAAGTTATTTTAACTGAAACTTTGTGTTGGCTAGAAGTATTGACAACATTATCTAAAAAAAATCATTTCGGCAGTAAAATGTTTTTGTTGGACCAAATATTTAAGTAACATTCTCAACTGACTGAAATTAGTCCGTGGAACTAACGGTTCGGTTGTATAAACTATGCGTCACTTTTCACTCAGCTAAGACACCAGCGGTGTGAAACAAAGTGTCAGTTGGGGATGTTGTCTCTGTAGGTTAATGCAACTGCAAACTTTGTGCATTTCGCGCGCGATTTGTCCAGCCCGGCGCGTGCTTTACTTTTAACCTGTAAACAAACGGTGTTGCACGGCGTCCAGACTTCGGTGGTGTTTGTTCTTTTGTATTTGTGTATCAGCTCGTGTGTAGTGTATATTTTAGGTAAGAAACTAGTTTATTACAATTAGTCATTTGCCCCTGTAAATTCAGTGGCGACATACTTTTTAACTATTCATGTATATAAGAATATATTCTTATGTGTTGGTTACTTATAGATATCTCGAACAAATAATATGGATGAGCGGACTGAAGTAGCAGATTTATTAGGAACATGGGGTTTACCTGAATTGGTTTCAGTTTTTAAAGGTTAGGTATTATTATTGCACTCCTTTAATTACACTATTGTAGTTTTGGGGTCCGAAAAAAAATCCAAAAATGTGAAAATGCCATTCCGACTGAAAATGGCCTCCTGAATCCAATGGTGTCCACCAAAAGTCTCCATCACGTCGGAATTTCGAGAATTTTTTTGTTTTGTTACAGCTCAAGTCGCATTTTTGGTATAGGGCCTATACTATAGGCACTCACACTCAAAATTTATCGAATTCTTACCCCTGTTATGTTGCAAGTATGTTACGTTGTACCTAAGAATCATTGTTAAGTTGTTAAACAAAGGCTTGCACATCACGGTTTACTGAAGAAGTATAGTCAAATTTCATCTTAATGTACCTATCTGTGTATATTTACCAAAGAATCGTTTTTATTTTATTGTTAAAATATTTATAAATGTTTTCTTAGAGTAATTATTAATTTTTGTTATAATGTTTAAACCAAAATTTGGTGTTTTTAGTTATATTGTTATTTTTTAATTTATAATAAATATTTATAAAACGAACGGGCATGAATTTCCTTTCTCTATTTTTTATAATATTTACACAAAAAGTGTTATATTTACTAAGCAGGTATGTACAATTTGTTATTGCTACTAATGCAAGCATTTAATATTAAATATAACTTAGTTACAGTACAAAACAAATTTATATTATATCAACTATTAAATTCTTTAAATGTACCTTTTTTCATGTAATTTCAATTAAAAAATAAATTCCTGCATGATACAATGTTTGTTGCGATAAATAGCAAGTGCAGTTGTTACAACTTAGACGCTGCTAAAATGACAGACTAATGTGATTGCATTAAATATCAATTATTTGTATGAAAAAAAAAACTAATTTCGATGCACTTAAACTTGTTGGTTGGAGCTACCAATATTGGCTGTTCCGACAACAAACTGTAAAAACAAATTTGTATTAGTTCCCACAACATATTTTTTTGTTGTGCCTATTTTCACTAATAAAATTGGTTCTGGGAACTAAATTTTCATTGCAAATACCAGGTCTTTTCTAAGAGTGTATGTTCTATCTTGTACTAAAAATACAAAAAATCACTGCAACACTGCACAGTTTAACGGCGGCCATTTTTGTTGTTTAAAATTTTTTTGTTTTGGGTTTGTGCTCTGTTTATACAGATTAATAATCGTTTTAAACGTTGTGTTTCTCATAGTAAGCCTTAAAAGAGTCCTTAAAGTGCTAAGAAAAAAGTCAAGGACAGCAGAAAAGGGGTGGATAGAGGATGGAATTCTAAGGCGAATAGTCTTTGCCGTTTTTTGATCACGCACCACAATCCACACAACAAGGTATGTTCTATCTTGTACTAAAAATACAAAAAATCACTGCAACACTGCACAGTTTAACGGCGGCCATTTTTGTTGTTTACAATTTTTGTGCTTTGGGTTTGTGCTCTGTTTATACAGATTAATAATCGTTTTTCGTGTTTCTCATAGTAAGCCTTAAAAGAGTCCTTAAAGTGCTAAGAACAGCCATTTTACTCCTCTATTGTAAAAAATAAACTTTGTTCTATCAGGGCTGTCATAAAACTGTCAAATGTCAATTTGAAGGTTAAATTATAACCCACAAATTAACCTTTAAATTGTCATTTGACAGCCCTGATAGAATAAGGTATATTTATTATAAGAGGAGTAAAATGGTTGTCCTTAGCACTTAAAGGCCTTATTTGAGGCTTACAAGTGCCTCTGTAAGAAACACAACGTTTAAAACAATTATTAAACAGCACAAACCCAAAGCACAAGAATTGTAAACAACAAAAATGGCCGCCGTTAAACTCTGTGCAGTGTTGCAGTGATTTTTAGTATTTTTAGCATGAGATAGAACAGACCTTGTTGTGTGGATTGTGCTCTAATCATTCTGCTAAAAGACGCCTGTGATTGCCACTTTATTTTATTAATAACTAATTAATGGTGCGTCTGATCGAAACACGGCAAAGACTATTGAGACACCCTGTATATAAACTAAATTAAAATTTTCGCAATCAGTCTAAAATCACTGTCACCTTTCGGATAGCATTTACTTATAAAGTTAAAATGTTAACGAATTGCTAAAAATGCGGTTACTTCTCCTAAGTGCTTGTTGGTATATTTTTGTGCAATTGTCATTCCGATCAGCTAATGCTTTATTGCGATGGTACCGATTCTGCCATATTTAGTAGACCGCTAATGTTCACTATGTTATTTGCAATGTTGATGGCATTTTGCAACAAACCTACATTCACAGTAACACGAACGGAATAATTATTGCAGTATTTGCAGAGTCCCTGTCTATATTTTTTGTTTGTGGATAGGTAAATTCACCTTAAAATTGACATTTAACAGTTTAATGACAGCCCTGATAGAAGTTGTGTGGATTGTGCAGTTAACCATGAAGTAGTTTTTTGACATATGTCATTGTCATCAAAATGTCACACGTGAAACCCAAACCTTCGATAAGTTTATTCAAACAACTTTGGAACGACTGGCCAGAACTGGTTGGCTCCCACTTTATGGGGACCTTAGGCCTATTGCTTTGTGGTGGATCACTTTTGCTGTACTACAAAAAAGATGGCGATTTTAGAAAACACAAATTGGAGTACACTGTGATAAGGGATGACGATTGTATGGCAGATAAATACAAGAAAATTTACAAGGAGTTGGATAAGGCTTATTATAAAAAAATTGGTGTCGAAATGCCAGATGATTGTAAAGAATAGGTTTATATTTTGTTTTTTTATTTAACCTTACTTAGATTTCCTCATGGCCCAAGCAAAAACTAAGTTTGTTTTTGGCTAACCTTTCTTAGTAATCTAGTAAATTACAAAAAACAACTACTAAACTAGATTTTATTCAAATTTGCTAGTTTCTCATAAATATGTAGACATTAATAAAAATACAATACAATTTGGTTATTAATTGGAGCAAGAAACTATTATTAATGGAAATTTTGACCATTTAATTTGTATAATTCATGCAATAATTTTGTTTGTTTATAATGAAAGTTATTTTCATACATGTGAAAAAACAATATTTGTATTAATGTTTAAATAAAAGTTTAAGCTTTATACAGCGTGTTCCGGATCGAGTTGCCAATGGCAAAAAATATATCTTCTTAAAACTCCTTTAAAAAATGAGATTTTTCAAAAATAATAAAATGTACAGGATGCTTTGTAATTAGAAAAACATGTAAATACTTCAAAAGAAAAAATGTCTATAAAATAATAATCTCTCTTGAATCATTTTTATTTTCCCTTAAATAAATTAAATAAATCAAATATACAGGATGCTCAGAAATTAAGAAGAAATGAAAATGCTTCAAGTGATGTAGGTACCCAGCGTTTTACAAAAAAAATTATTCCTCATAAAAACATGTTTGTTGAAAAATTGGGATTTTAATAAAAAAAAATTGAATTAAATGTACAGGGTGCTCAAAAAACCAGAAACGATAAAAATGATTCAAGTGAGAAGTTCCCTGCATTTTAGAGACATGAAAATGCTTCAAAAGAAAAAATGGCCCTTTATTTATTATTTTATAGAAAAAGTCTATATTCAAAATTAAAAAATATTATACATTTAATTTTATTTATTTATTACTTATTTCAATGTTAAAATAATAAAAAAAAAATATTATTTATAGTAAATTTAAAAGTAAACTACGTACACGTCATCAATAAAACAAAAATTTTACGCATTGGTACCAACACTAAATGACTAAATCGAAGTCTGTAATTGAATATTTGAATGCATTTTAAACATCATCAGTTGGCAACAATTAAGATGTTGTCATATTTACATTCAAATATTTCATATTTAAATGACACATAAAAAAGAATTTGACGTTTTAGAATTTCGAAGCTGTCAGTTGTGTTTTTGAATATTTCGTTTAATTCGTGTATTATTTCGTTTATTTTGTTTGTTGTTTGTGTTATTTTATATCGTTTAAGTTTTCATTGCCGTTTTTGTGTTTGTTATATATCGTTTTTTTGTGTTTCCTATATTTAAAATGCCGAAGCATTTAAATAGTCGGAGTCAAGAGTTGGTGTCATCCTTAATACGCTATTTTGAGGCAGACCGGGATAATAATGGACCTTTGCTACCTTTAACAGCTGTTAGAGAAGTAAATAGGATTATTATTAATTATATATTAGAATATTTAACAAAATATATGTTGGATACATAAAATAATAATATATATACCAGAGACTGACTTTAGATGGCAAAATTTTTGGGTTTTATATCAGAAAATGTCTTTAAAAATGGCTAAAAACATACTTTTGGCGGTGCATCATATAGGTTATAAAAACTCAGACTTTTGACATTTTGGTATTATTCATGTAAACGCCATCTATCGCCCTGTAGTTGCACTACCACTTTCCCTTGATGCAAGGATTTTAGCATCACATTGACAACCGTGCCCGATCAGCTGATTGATGACGTGTACGTAGTTTACTTTTAAATTTACTATAGACTTACATTTTAATTGTCAACGATATTTTCCTTATTAAATTTGTCTATAAAATAATAGTCTCTCTTGAATCATTTTCATTTTCCCTTAATTAAATAAATCAAATGTACAGGATGATCAGAAATTAAGAAGAAATGAAAATGCTTCAAGAGAAGTACCCGGCGTTTTACAAAAAAAATTATTCCTCATAAATACATGTTTGTTGAAAAAATGGGATTTTAATAAAAAAATTGAATTAAATGTACAGGGTGCTCAGAAAATAGGAAACGATGAAAATGCTTCAAGTGAGAAGTACCCTGCATTTTAGAGACATGAAAATGCTTCAAAAGAAAAAATGTTGCTTTATTTATTATTTTATAGAAAAAATCTAAATTCGAAGTAAAAAAATATTTTAACTTTTAATTTTATTTATTTCTTACATGTTAAAATAAAAAAATATATATTAAATATTCAAGAAACAAATCGTTTTTTACCATCTATGGAAACAATTAATTTGTTTAAAAGAAAAAAATTGCCAATGACCTAGCCTACTAGACCGCATAGCATGAGTCAGACATAACCTTACGAATTACCTACTGTTTTATTTGTTTAATGCTAAAACGTTTAATATTTTATGAAATCAATTAAATATTAACTCGGCAAGGTATAATTTACGGATAAGTAAAAACAATTATTAGCAATTAACGGTTAGATTGAAAAAAAAATCGACTATTGTTACCACAGCAGTGGTCCCAATTTTCTGTCAATAATTGTTGTCAGGGTCAATACAAAAACAATCTATTTCACAACTTAAAATATATATATTATTTTTTATTTTTGGTTGTTTCACTGTTAGTCTAGAATGGGGTTTTTGGGAAGCCACCAGGTCTAGTAGGTAATAACATAACATAAGTGGTTCTGCACTTATGCAAGAATTTTAAGAAATCATACAATTTGAATATTAGAGCTTCACGGAAGATAGCTTCACGGAGGTTAGGATTTCGTATGTTTTTTTTAAACATCCCTTTGTATATTTGAAATAAGTTATTGCATCTTTTGACTCCTTAATATTTTTAAAAAATACTACATTTACAAATACTACACTTCACGGTGGATAGGTTTTTAAATACCAAATTAATGAACTTAAACTTTTGAATTATAAAACAGCAACACTCTCATCTGCATATAAATTCTAACTGACCTTCAGGAATCACATGCATCTATAATGTCGTAAACAGAGGTTTTTGCTTATTTAAAATGAATAAAGCGCCATCCGTTGCATAAAATTTAAAGCAAAAACAGATTCACGGAGGATAGAATCAATTTTTGTAAACCTACATAAATGGTTATAAAAATTATTTCTTTTAATTTTTAATAATATTTTATATTTGATTCGATTGCTTTGGATGTGTTTAATTTACTTAGAGAACTGATATTTTTATAAAAATATCAGTTCCTATAGGATGCTTTTACTACCTCAGATATTTGAAAACATATAGGTTAACCTAGAAAGAGTAGCAGTCACGGAGAATAGGTTTAACTAAATCTGGAACCATCAGATCAAAACACAATCCGTTACCAACAAAATTTTTTTTAATAAAAATTGCAAAAACTTTTTTATCGGTCAAGTATGGTTTAAACATAACACGTGCTTGGATAAATTATAGATAAAAAATGATTGCTACACGGGTCCATTAAATTTTAAACGCCATATTATATGTATGAATGTGAATTGTTTAAAAGGCCTTTTCAATAAACATAACATAAAAAATGATAATTATTTATTACGTGCCATACATAATCTGAAAACATCATTCAAGGAAAGATTTGCATCAAAAATATTTATTAATTATTAAAATTTTTATTAAATATTTTTTTTATGCGTAACTTTGTATTTAAAATCCAGTCGCAGACGTCAATGATAGATACTTAATCGACTTGATAAATAAAAAGGGGGTCAGTGTTTTTTAATTTGGGTACAATTAACGGGTCAATTAAGATAAAATGAGTCAAATATTTGATAAAAATTTACAATTTTTTAGTCACACAAAAATACTAATTTTGTTGTATTTTTTTTATCTGGAGTGGTTAGTCCAGTGCATTTAGTAATTGACCAAGTAGCACAGCTATTATAATAGAAGTGCGAAAAAACTATGAAGGTGATTATTTTTAGCACTTAAATATAAAAACAAACATTTCATGTATTTGCTTGATAATCAATAGATCGTCGAAGGTTCGATCAATAAATTTATCTTTATTTTATTTATTAAAAAACATAATTGTTATTATTAACCATGGAATTACGAAATAGATGATGCATTTTCAATACGTAGTAAACAGATACGCACACTTTAATGTTGTTTATGTTTTCGCTCATGGATATTTACGTAGTCAACTGTTTTGCCATATCCAAAGGTTTTTGACTCCCTAGGGCAAAATTTGTACCGGGAATGTTGCAATTATTTATAAAGACCTATAAGTAAATTAAGGCTATTTCAAGTGTTTAAATTGACTATAAATAAACCAAATATTTAACTAGTTAGTAATATTACTTATAAGTTAGGTTGTTTTAAGTTACACGTTATATTAACTTCTGAGGTTAACGTTTGAAAATGGTTATTTTTTTAGACAACATAATATGTTGTCAACATCATCAGCGACTTCTCTGATGGTTTATAACCATTTCTTCCACTTTTTCCATGTTTTTATCGGTTGTTAATGTGCTTGTGCGTTCGGGGCGTTCGTCATCTTCAACGTCTTCACGGCCATCTTGAAAACTCTTATACCACTTGTAAACTCTTGATTTACTTATAGCAGACTCACTATAGGCCTTTGTTCATATTTCACAGAATTTATTTCATTTTTTAAGCAAAATTGGATACAAATTCTTTGATCCATTTCTTTTAACGAACGAAAAATCGCCGAGTTCATAAAACACGTCTAACCTTAGCGGCTGCCACAGACAAAGTAAACAATGAAAACAGCTAAAGTTTTTATCATACTTCGGGGGCATGTATACCAACATAATACTTACTTCATTTCACCGTACAGTCAAGCAGTTTACTACAAACGGGAGTGTTCGACCGAAAAAAAGAGTTCGTCGAGCAACAGTCACAGGTGGAAATAATGAAATTAATGTATTAGCAGCAACGGCCGCTAATCCTCATGCAAGCACACGAGAATTATCTAGAGATTTGGGAATATCCCAGAACAGTGTTAAAAAATAAATAAATAAAATTTTTATTTTCTTTATTTCTTATTTTTTTATTAAATTAAAAATTCTACAAATTCCTATAAAACACATGTTGAGAATCATCTTTTAACTCAACAGCTATGTTGAATCGGTACAATTAATGCGATCTTTCCTGGCATATGTTAAATCTGCTAGATATATACAAATTTATAAATAGCTACTACGTTTTATTATAATATAATATAATATATATTA